TTGTACTCCCCCTTTCCAAGAGTGAGAATAAGTATCTGCCAGAAATAATTTGTTGTTGACAGGCTTATTGCCTCCAAGGGATTTGAGTGCCCTTTTGGGGAGCCAGGATCTTATGTTGGTGGCTAATATCCTGTATTTTATTTGGGAGGCAGAGGGACCGAATGCTTAAAAACCCCAGAAAGCTAGAGAGTTTGTCCCTGAATATTTATCTTCAGAAATTTCTCCTTTTTGATAGAGTCTATTTGTGCATACGTGGTAACTTGAGACTGCATAACCCAGAGATAGTTAAAATACAGAATTCCTCTTCCCTGTTAAAAAAGGGGAGTATGTCTTTGTGTCTCAAAGAAAAATCAGTGATTTGATTTAGTTCAAAACTAACTCGGACACTCACAGCAGTATCAGCTCAAGTTTTCCCTCTGCCTTCATGAATTACATAGATCGTGTTTATAAATTGCAAGGAAACTTTTGATGAGGCTGTTAGTAGTTTAGAGTTCAGTTAAATTGTGAGTTTTGAAACTTGAATTTTCAAAAAATATTTTTCACAGCTCTGCTGATGAGGCACTTCATTAGCATTGGAGCCTACACTGGCTGAGAAAATAACTTTTTACCATAGGTTCCTCACATGCATTTAATCTCCTTTCACTTTTATTTCTTCCATCTGATGGAATCTATCACTTTCCTTCTCCCATCATGGTTATTTCCTAAGAATTATTCTGTCACAAAAGGCAGCACCTTTTACATCTCCACAAAGGCTTACTAGGTCAAAAAGAGCCTTTTTTTTTACAGTTAGAAAAATTGTAATTACTGTATAGAAAAATCACATAGAAAATCCTATCGTATGCTAGGTTTCTAAACCTCTTAAAACTTTTCTATCCTATGACTGTGGGTTTGCTGGTGACAAATGTTTTATGGGCATATTTTAGTAGACACCCGTCTAAAATCTGGTCCTAATAGTCAGATCCTAAATTGGAACCAGAGGGGCAGAAAAACCAGATTTGAAACGTGTTTCTAAGGGTTTGTTTTTACTTTCAGTTGAGGCTGCCTTCTCTCATCTTTTGTACTGCTGTCAAAAGGGCCACTCTCATGGTTGTTCAAACTCCATGCTTCTTGACAGGAACAGTTGGACCCCTCTTCAATGATTTTCAGATGAAACGGCTTGCAAACCTCCAGAGCTTTAACTTGTAGTTATTAGGCCCTTTGAAATAGCAACACATTAATCAGCTGAAATCAAGTGGTCCTTTCTCCACGGCTGTGATATTGCTGTTCTCTTCTAGGTAGAGCTATAGTCTAAATATTAGTTTCAAGAGCACTTTTTTTCTCCCCCCTCTAGATATGTCTATCCCATTTCTGTTTCTATTTTGATCATTGTTTTAGAATGCTGTGAATTAAATTGCTCACTTCTATAATAGGCTTTTATACTCTCAAATTGCATTAAAGGAAGTAATGCAGAAAGCTTGCTTCCACTTGTTTGACTCTTAGTTTAGAAATTGGCTGCTTTTAACTTCTCCCATGCACAGTGTGAAGCCCAGCAGAAAAGGTATCAGTGATGTAAAGGATTATGTCTGACAGATCTTGGTCTAGCAATGATGTGAAATATTGAAGGAAAAAATAAAAGGTTTATTGAAACTGGATCATTTGAAACAGGGGCTTGGTTTGTGTCCCTGACTTCTGTGGTATTGAGAAAGTGATCTGCATCTGTTAATGGCTTCCCTTACTAGCTTATGTATTAGTCAAAAAGCAGACTGGGGATGACAAGAAATCAAGAAGATACTGTTCTTTCCATTAGCCATTATTTACATCAGTGGCTGAACCACTGTCAAGTTTTGGCAAAATATATTGATAAGAAAATAATTTAGTATCACTGAGGAGAAAATGCAAACATGTATGATTGAGAACCTTGTCATTTGGGGAGTGGGTGTCTGTGTCACAGGGCTGCTGATGCTGTGGTCAGTGTCCAGGAGCTGCCTGAGAGTTGATAAAATAGGACATGGGCCTGTTTGGTGTCTGCTTTGAAAACTGATGCTGCAGAACTCCTCAACTGTTAGAATGAAGAAATATTTCTATTCGCTTTATAAACACACTCTGAACTTTTATTATGTACTGTATGTTCACAGCAATCATTTCCCATACCTCCGAGGCTAAATAATTTCTGAATAGCTAAATCAATTTGTCTTGTGTCTGTGTTGTGTCACAATAATGAAAGTTCCCTGTACTGTGGCAGTAGCAGTAAAGCAACTCTTGTTAAGGAGATGTGGGAGCTCTATCAAAGCGTCACTGAGTTATAACTCAGCAGCTGATTAACCAGTCAGCATTAGAAAGGAAAAGACAGTGTGCCTCAGCTATCCATTGAGCCTCCTGTGAGATTGTGTAATTAAGTTTGAAGTTTTATTTAAGGTCTGAAACTTAATAAGACACAAAATGTACTGTAAGATCTAAAATCACCAAGGTCTTGGTTTTGTAGCTTGCCTGAATGACCTGTGATTGCAAGGTTGCATTACACTTGCAGCTGAGCAGAGTGATGTTCACATAGGGTGGTGACAGATTCACTAAAATTGGGTCAAGTCCTGCAATTGAGTGAATGAAGAGAGGTTCTTCAAGAGCTTCATTGGCTCCTGTAGGACTTTGCCTGTCTGGCTGCTGGTGGAGTCTCTTTTGCTGGTGGAGTTTGCTCATACCCCAGGGAGATGGTGTAAATACAACCCCTCCAACAGGCTGAAGTAAATGTTTTGAATTGACACCTGGCAATAGGAATTTCCATGGAGTTTACCTAAGGATCTGATGTATATCTATGTGTGTGTGTGTCTGTTTTTATCTGTCTATGTGTACCTGAAGCAGATATCTATATAGAGAGGTACAATAATAGGTCCTTGTTCTTTGGAGTGATGTTTGAGGTAGGACAGGAGGAGGTATAGCCTTCACTTTGTCTTACAAAACATGCAGAGATTCATCTAAGGGAGTTAGATGAATAGCATCAGAGGAACTTGTTCAGTTCAGAACTTTCAATTTATCGAAGACTTTTTAGCTGGGAGTATCACAATTTTTGAAGTCTTTATTAGCTAAAGTCATGCAAGACTCCTGTAACACAGATCAAGTACCATACCTTCTTGGCCAGGATTTATGTGTTTCTGTTGCCTAGTTTACATATGGAATGTAGATGTTGGAATCATTATCACTTCTAATTTTTGAGTATGTTGAAAAGCAGGATCTAAAAGACCAAAAATAATCAAAACCAAATCTTCTCCTACATTCCTGTGCTGCAAATCAATAGCATGGGGATATATTGTCTGGATGTCAGCCCATTTCATAAATGAATATATCTCAAAGATTGTTTTACTGGCCCACAAATGCCAAGAACAGGATGACAGTCTAATTCCTTGCATAGCAACAGCTAACATAAAATCAGATTTGCTCTAGAAAATGCAAGTGCTGTTTGGGCAAGGTTACAGATACAAGCATTGTTTCTTGGTTTATGTTTGGCCCGTGGTAGGTATTAACTGGCCATTTGTCTGATGCCAGACAAGTCTTTTTGTTTAAAAGTTACAACAGCTGCTGTTTTGTAGGGGTATAAATTCTCACACTGCTGAATGCAATGGGAAGTGTTTCTTTGGTACAGCGTGGTTACACTTTCAGGTCCATAACACAAAATACATTGCCATAAATATCCCATTCTGCAACTGCCAGCATTGTCTTTATATGTAGTATATGACGGGCCAAGGATGAGGAGAGGTAGAGATTTAGCTTTCTCATCACCCACAGAGTTTTCCCTTTGTTGTGGTTTGAGATACATTTACTGGACCTGACTCATTTCCACTTACCTGTATGATTCTGAAAATGTGATTGTTGTTTCTGATCATTCCAGGTTCTTTTTGGAGGGAAGAAAAAAAATCAAATAAATGTGTTTGTGCCTTGTCTTTAAAGGAGATTGCTTAAAATAGCTTCAAGTTGCTACCAGCATTAGGCAGTTCTGGAAACACTATGTATGAGTAGAAAAGGAAATGGGATCACAACATGCATTTTATGGCAGTTCTGGATTTAGTTTATTAACTTTGCATTGCCAACCCCTCCAAGTTTGCAGTCTGTTCAGGTATCGTTGGTACTTGTAAGACAGAATTGCAGTCTGGCTTGGTATCCTTTTCTCTTTATTTTTTTTGATCCTATGTGTTTTTAAAATCTCCATCACTCTTGTTGTGCATACTGTTACTTAAGTGTTTCGCTGATCCAATATGCAGAATAGAACTACAAAATTTGGCTTCTGGTTTTGCTATTAGTGAGTTTTGTCAGATGCCTCTCTAAACACACAAACACATACCATTTCTGGGTAGAAAGAATCTAAGCAACCAGTGAAATCAGAATATGCTCAGCTGAAAAATGGCAAGGGTATGTGAATGGAGACTAGGCTGCCTGGATCCATTTCCAAAATAATGCATCACATACAGACTAAAGCTTTGCCTCCAGGAAGGTGATGGTCCTTTTTCTGTGCTGCTATGCCAAGAATATAGGTGTATTAATAGTGAAGATGCATTTGCTGATCAGCTCCTGTGGAGTGACAAGGGAGATCCATGGCTCCTGCTGCACAAGAGGAAAAATCTCTCCTCGAGCCTGTGAAAGACCCCCTGGCAATTAGGGTTTGATGAAGTGGAGCAGGTTTACCTCTTTAAGTGTGTCTGTTATACACTAGCACTAAGGACAAAAGGCTTTCAGGCTTGAGGGGGTCCCAGGAAGGAGTGAATAAAGCCTTTGGACTAACCTTATGTTCATGGCCTTATACTTCCCCAGATACAGGGGAGGAGAAGCTAACAAACAGCAGCCTAATGAACTCAAACAGAATAGAGGGAGTCCATGCTTTGCGAGCACATTTCTTTGCCAAGATAATAATGTGAATGAGCTTAACAGACATTCAGGGATGAATGTACAGGGCAATAATGACTGAAAGGCTTTCTTACATGGCTTTCTATTTAAACACTTGTATGTATTCCCTTCTGCTGCTTTATTTCTCCCAGGTATTTGTGGTCACCGTCTGGACTGTGGAGCTGTACATGGTGCCCCTGGCTTTGCTGGTGCTTTTCGCATACAACTTCTCCCTTGTCACAACAGGGAAGGTCAACAACACCCAAGATGCCCAGGCAAGTAAAGTGGCAGTAATTTCGAGCAGCCCCAGCTTAAGTCTGCCCTTGAGTGAAGTGCTCTGCATTTTAATGGTTTTAAGGTAGTTGTGTAGCTAAACAGCATTTTTATTTCGAAGTTACTGAAAAGAAACCTCAACCCTCTCAATTTTCGTTATTCAATTCAAGCAATAAACCATTCAGAGTAGCAGGAGAAGACAACAAGAGTGTGTAGGAGTAGGATTTCAGTTACTAAATAACTACAAATGCTCTTAACTAAGTTGAATTAAGAAAGACTTAGAAAGTGATAAGTTCCTAAAACCCATGCCCCTCCTGCCATTACACTTTGCATCACACTAATGATTCATGACTCACAGAAGAAGAAAGTCAATAGAAGCCAAAAGAGAATATAGTTGTTTTTAAACCTTGTCATGTGATCTGAGGCTTCTAGAAGCCTTTATTCCTCCTTCCCACCCTCTATTCTTAAATGATAAATGTTTTTTCCCCCAGAAATTGAGCCTTCAATTTTTGAACTTGGGAGAAAGCAAAGATTTAAATACAAAAAGAATTGCAAATTGTCACAAAGTGCTACTGTTGGGCTACAAAACGCTGTCTGATGTTGACCACTATTTTCACTCACACAACAATGGTAATTACAGATAGAAATGAGAGTCCATAATACTCTGTTCTTAAAAGTGAAATAAATACAGTAATGAAATGGAGGCCAAAGTGCAGCTTCTTTTTAACTTTTGATAAAAGGGTGATTGACATTGGTAGCCATGAAGAATATCTTTATCTGAATGAGTCAAGTGGATTTTATACAAAGGCATAATATCCTAAAATTTAAGAAGTCAATTGCTGGTATTAGTTTTAGTGAGAAGTTGCTCCTAGTTCAGTTTTCATCCATTCCCAAGTGGAAAGATTCTTGGAAAACAGGGAAAGTTACATTATCCAGAGCAGGAGAGGCTTAATTTGAAAACTTGGTAAAAGAAAGGCTTTTCTCCAATTACAGCCAAGTCCAGAATAACACAGAGAGACACTGTGTGTCTTCAGTGACTACTTGATATCATCAAGAAAATAAGAGTTTCCCATGTGAGAGAATCCCAGGCAAACAGATGTTTTTGTTTTAAATACAAAAGGCAATAAAAATAATAACTTACACAGTAAAAAATAGACAGAGAAAGCCTTATAGCCCTCTCACGCATCTTGTGGTATGTTTGTTGCATGTTCAGGTGAGGAGAGTTTCACATAAGAGAAAAAATGAGCAGAGCATCATTTAAGTGGACACTACCTCTGAAAGTACAGCTAATTGTAGTAATACTGAAGCAAGGTCACTCAGAAATTTGGCCCTTTTCCTGTCACACATTCTGAAAGCAATATGATGCCATGAAATTCAGAGGTGCATTTTACATAAGCAAAATCACACATCTGCCAAAGTGCTTTGCAGGATTGGGATCATATGGAACAAGTAGTCAAAGTGCCTTTAATATTACCTGATTTCTTTTTTATGTGTGTCTATGATTCTAACCATCTGTAGGTCAAAAATAGACAATCAGGTGCTACCCTGAGTCACATCTGTCCTACAGATGAGAAAAGGTTTGCTTCAAAATACTGATGCTTTTTACAGAGTCATTTATTTTTCCCATCTTCAGACCTTGGCTGCATGTGCACTGCCTTTGGTTTTTGTGTGCCAGTACACATATTTTGTGTATATAGAGGAATGCAAGCAACAGCCTTTGTAAAAGTGAACCTCAAATTCTCTCTGATTTCTGTGCTATAAAATGTGAATAACAGAATTAACCTTGTACTCATGATCCAGTTGCCAGGAGGCTAAATTCATGAATATGGGTAAAATGTTTTATGATTTACAGATGGGAAGCTTCTATAGAAATGTAAACCATGATCAGTGTTAATTCAGCTGCTCAGGGTATTCCAGAGAGCCAGAGAGTAATTCTGAGTATGTGAGCTCCCAGTGCCTTTTACATACTAGATGCAACTGCTTTCCTGGGGGGAAAAAAAAAAGAAAGAAACCCCAAAACAGAAACACCCAACCCCTGCAGAAAACCCAAATCCAAAACATCTTGTTATTGTGACTCTTCACATTCTTTGCATGTTTGCTGTATTTAACTTGTAGTACACAGATTCAAATGTAGCTATTAAATAACCAAGAAAAACCTGGAGGACCCTGTTAAAGGCTCAGCTTATTAAATACCTGAATTGAAAGCCAAGTGCTCCTAATTTCAAGCCTTAGCCAAGTCTTCTGTTTTCCCCTCTACCTGTCAGCATAGAAGTTAAAAGGAGGAAATAATGCTGCATAGAAATCTGACTGTGATTCGTGAGATTGATTATGTTCATACTAAAGTATTTTCTAAAGTCTAATGTTTCAGTAATGGCCCTAAAGGGAGAGAGAGGTCATTGTAGCAGTGAGGATAGAATGAGTTGTCTATAGAGTCCTCAGCCTTGACATACCAGCTGGTTCATTTACAAGACTAAGAACAAAGCTGTGTACAGGTAGTAAAAGCCTGTTGCTTCCAAACTGCTGGACACAGCCACTAATGCTTTATTTAGACTTAAATTTGTATAGAGTATCACATTCTTTGTTCAGAATACCACAAACAAAAAAGAAAGGATCCTTGAATACAAGATATAATATGTGAAAGGTGGAAGTGGTGGTGGTTTTTTTGATGACTTCAACAGAAGGTGGGAGAAAACTATATAATGAAATGTTGTGGGAGTATCATAAGCTTTTTGAACATTGCCTGTCACTGAAAAATAAGTGTAGTGTTTTGTAATATGGACATCTGCTTTTTCAGGAGCTTATGGGCTTGGATGAAGATGAGGATGAAGATGATAAGGTAAGCATATCTCATTGTTTTAGCTAGAATCAGAAGGAACCCACCATCCTCTCTCCATGAGCTTTTCAGTTGTTAGCTGTACTAACTAGGAAAACAGTTGTCAGCAGTTTGCTGATTGGCAGATTTAAAAGTAGGAAAATACTGGTTAGTGTAACATTCTGTAGTGGCATTACCTGTGTTAGTCCTCTGAACATGAATTGAATCTGAGCAGGCTCAGTTTGCACTTGACATCGTAACAGGCACGTGTTCATGTATGTGCACTTCTAGGTATGGGTGTGAGTGGGTGGACGAGGTGTGAAGACTTGCATGAGTATGTAAAATCCCTCATCACTTCCCTTTCAAGTCTGTATGACATTCTGTACTACTGTCTTTCCCCAGATGATTTGGCATTTCCACTTCAGTAGGCCAGAATTGGTGTGATTTGTAGAGGACTGGTTGGAATTTTCTCAGCATTTCTTTCAGAGCCTGGGAAAAAAACAGTTTTCGTTCGGCGGTTGAAATGTGGAAAGAATTGGAATTGGCAAGGCCTGTTTTTTATTTTACTGGAACATACTTACTCATTCTTCTCACTATGAAAAATTCATTGGATTTTTTTCCAAGTTTATCAAACCACAGTGACAAATGATAAAAGGATTAGAGGGCATGACATATGAAGAAAGATTAAGAGAACTTAATGTATACAGCTTGAAAAAACATAAGTAAGTGAAGGAGGATCTGATAATCTATAAATACTTCAAAGCTAAAAGGTGAGGAATTATTTAACGAGCAACAGCATGCAAAGGAACATTAGCTGTTAGGAAGAAAATGTTCACAAGGCAATGTGAAACTTTCAAATTGCATACCAAGTTAATAAGGATCTTCTTGAATATTCTGTGTTTTAATTACAGTGAAATTGTTGATCATTGAGAAGTAAATCAATACCACAGTGAGCAAGTGCACCTTAGCTCTTCTCAGTCACAGACCCTAGAATTGAAGCTCAGCAGACTAATTGATGGGAATAATTATTTAAATTTAACCTGCTCTTCCATGGTGGTTATATTTTAATGAGCAACCAGAAATCTGTCAAAGTTATAAAGTGAACTTCAGACAATCTAGTTAAATTACAGGTTTATTGCAATGCACAGTAATTGTTTAAATGTTTTCATTTACAATTCACTCTTTGCATCATAAAATGCATCAAATGAATGGACCAATATCTGGAACTCATCAGAAATTGCTAAATGAAAGTTGCATCTTTTTCAAAGGAATACTGTATATCTTTAAAAGCCAATACTTTCTATTTAGTGTGTACCTGGTACTAACTAGATACCTGTGTATATTAGCCCTACATCTTGTTTGTATGATGCCTAAAGGCATAACTTATTTGCTGGAACAAATCCCATTTACTTTCTTCTATTTTAATATTCCTCTTTTTCATTTGCAACTGCTGAGTTGGAGGGAAAAAAAAGTAAAAATGTATTAAATAGGTATTTAATCCTCTGTTCCCTGTTCTGTGCAATCAGTTCATTGCTGCAATGCCAAAATATTCTAGGTTACATTTACCCTAGACTTAACTGCAGTGACTTTGGTTATCTCTATAAATACAACTGGGTCACTTAAATATGGGTTTAGTGACTTTGCATTTTTGCTTCCCCCTAAACAACTTCACTGTCATTCTCATTCTTGGTTTCTTTTAACTAAGTGTGCAGGTTTGGGAAAACTCCTGGCAGTCAGTGTTGAGCTGCAGATGCTTTGGCCCTGCCATTTTGTAGTTGGTGTTGCCTCTGTTTCCATTTCATGCCCACTCTGTGACTCTTGACACGTAGATCTGATAGACCTGCTAAGGATGCTCACAGTAGACACCTCCAGCAGGCTTTCTCATCAGGATAACACTTTACATCCCTACATTTCAGTAATAATAATTCATAATTCATATTAATTTTTAGACTGATGTTATGGGCCTATGGAATTCTGACACAGAATTGCCAGAAGAGACAATTGCCAACCACTACATATGTCCCATGTCAAGTGCTGTGCAGCATTGCCTTAATGTCTTCGTTCTGCCCTGTGTGCTTCCCCTGTGCAGCAGTGATGGGCCCTGCTTGTACTCTGATGACTTGCATCTTTAAGTACATTAGGTTATTCTAAGTGACTTTTCCAAGTCTGAGGGTGGCCAATGCGCTCTGGGGAGTGTAAGAAAAATGTAATTTTATGACATTATCTCATGGCAATGTCAACATTTAAACAGACAACTATACTTTAAAAAGAAGTCTGTGTATTTTTTTTTCCTCCCTAATACAAGAGCTCCCAAAGTTGAAATCTGCTAGTTGGGTTGTGGTATACAAGGTCACTGTTTCTGTTTCCTATCATGGTGCTGTATCAAAATACTCACACACAGAGCCCTTCTGGGTTCTGCTGCCTGTTAGACATAACAGACCGAGCTTCTGGGAATTGTAACACACCCTCTAAGAGATGAACTGTTTACAAATTATAAATACACAGACACTTAGTTCAAAAACCCAAGAGCAGATTAACTCCCTCCACCTAAACTATCTGTCTTAAATGACAGGGCCTAATTGCCAACTCCCCCTTCTTTTCCCCTTCTGCCCTCCCCACATACCAGCATGGAGGACTGTAAAAGATAAGAGAGCTTTGTCCCTTTGGCACAAGCTCTTTGGTGGATGAATGCCTTCTCGGATTTGTGCCATCTTGGAATATGGAGTTCAGGCTGTGTCATGTCAGCTGTGGGGTCTGTCAGGCTGTCTCAATAAGGATTGTTTTAAACTTACATCACTGAAGCATCTTTTGTCTGACAGTAGAAAGGTATAGACAAGTTACATGCAGCTCAATGTAAGTTGTCTGATTGTTGACCATTTCTATTTTTTTTTCTGGTTTTGATAATGACTGCAGAGCTTCAAGAGCATACAGTTAACCTGTGAATGAGTGTGTCATAGCACCTGACTGGAAAGAGTCTTGGAGTTTTCACAAGATCTTAAGTTGTCTACATAAAAGGTTGCATCTCCTCCAAAACAGACAAAACTTAAATTGCTACTGTTTCCAGGTCTGGTAACTGATTCAGAAGAAAATCAGAGACAAAACTAAATCAACAGCAACTCCTGCATGTTTTGGGGTTTTTTTCCTAGAGGGTTTCTATGCTGTGGTGAGCCAATGTAGCCCTGCTTGGCTAGTGGGATGTAACAAGGAAGAATCAAATGACACGTGGCTTTAAGCCAAATTATTTGACAACTTCCAAGAAATGTTTATTATCTTATGTATTGGAAAAAACCAGAAGTGGAAAAAATCCCCAAAGGATAAAAATCCACTGTTTCTAATGTAGGAAATTCTCTGTCAAAAATAGGTACCAAAGATATACAAGATTTTATGAACACAATTCAAAAAGACTCCAGCCGAACAAATTAAAGTCAAATTCATCCAGTAGCAAACAGCTGACATTTTCCATTTGAGTTAGATTCAGCATGTGGAAACCTTCCGTATGGATCTTATTTGTACGGGTGGATTACGATGAAAATTGCATTAATTTTCTCCACAGTAAAGGTCAGTAATTGAAACATGAACCAAGAGTCTATTGTGTAAGATGCTATATCCCCATACTTAGGAAAGGTCATTCAAGACAATATCATCTCATTGTTTTCTTCTCTGAAAGTATAAATAATTTCATTAGGTTTTCTTTTTCTCTTCAATACAACAATTGCAATATAATATTTCAACATCTCCCATTAAGATTGCTGAAGAGAAATGATGGTAAGGGCTTGAAAATACTCCATGGTACACAGGGTATGTCCAGACTGAGAAGGCACATCCTCCTTCTCCACAAAATTGTCCTAAAAAGACCCAGTGCAGAGGTTGCTCTGCTTGTGCTTTGCTCTTT